ACAACCTATCGATCGTCCAAAAGTCCCCTACACTGTAGCTACTGTGGGTATTTATAGCCGCTATGCCGGGGACAGGATTCCAGCCGTTCGGCATGTCCTCCACGTAGCCACCACGTGTCATCCTTCCGGGTGCCCTGTCTGTCGTCGTAGAGAGCCGCCACGTGTCTTTCGTCAGCTCTCTCGCCAAAGGGCTACCGCTCGGCGGTCGACACCGTTGCTCGGGCAACTCCCGGTCGGCCCCCGACCGGGTTCTTCACAAGGAGCCCGACCTGTTACCTGCAAAGACAAAGAGGAAAAGACAAAGGCTTCTCGGTCGTGGTGGAGCTATGTCGGTCGGGATATTCCCTACCAGGTTCTTTTAATTAAATAAATTTATTCTTTTTGCACTTATAATTTTATACTAAATGATCGATTTATCATCCGACGGTTTTAAAGGATATTCGTTGGATAATTCGGTTGAATATCCGACGGATTTAGGTTAAAAAAAAAACGGATAGGACCTCGAATAGTGTATCTGATATCCAATCGGGGTGTCATTTCGTGAACCCGAGTCGTCCGAACCCGTCCGCTGCACACCCCTAATTGTGATACATTATTGGGTAATAGAGGTGGCCACGGGCCGATTTGGGACAGAATCAGCCTTGAATCGACTCGGAAAAAGCTGGGTCTGGGCTTTATCAGGCCGGGATCGACTAGTAAAGGGCCGGTTCAGGTCCTATTAAGAAAAAGTTTGGGGCCCCCAAGCTCGAAATCGGCACAGGATCGAGTCCAGGCACAGCCCAGGCCCATAATCGGCCCAGGCACGAATTAGATCCGGACTTTGGTACGGATATGTTTGAATTAATAAATAAAATATTTTAAATTTTTTTTAGATAATGCTTCTTTCAATACTTGATCTATAGTTCATTTACTTGAAACCTTACATTTACCTGTTAATGGTCAATTATTGCACTAATGTTCTAAATTTATGTGTTCAATATGGATATCAAACTAATCAAAGTTTGAGCGCAAATTATATCGTGCAACCGTGTGCACCATGCATGGTGCACACGGTTACAAAAATGACGTCGTTTTGATTAAAAACGACGCGTCCGACTTTAAAAAAAAAATTAATTTCGATTACAATTAACGGCGTTATGTTGTGCATAATTTGAACTATATATCTAGAATGAATGAACTATATATCCAGAATGAATGAACTATATATCCAGAATTAATGAACTATATATCCAGAATTAATGAACTATATATAACATTGAATTTTTTTTTTTTAAGTCGAACGTCAAAACGACGTCATTTTTGCAACGGTTGCACAGCATAACGCTTCAAGTTTGAGTGATTTTGTTGAACAGATTAGAAAACGTACTAAATGACTTAGATACAATAGAAAAAATTGATTTTAAAATATTGTGTGCACATGGTTTAAAGAAAAAAGACATTATAGTTTATATATATACACAATACCTCCTTTCAAAAGAAATATATATACACAATACCCCTACTCAATAAAATTTTATATGCAAATTGTTATGTGAAATTGCTCTATATCATGAGGTAATAATTATTTTGTATAATACTCCGTAGTAACGAAACTAGTGACGCTAGCATAATTACAACTATGTGGATTATTCCTCTAAATTATTGATGATGATACGTATAAATCTTGAAGATGATACGTATGAATCTTAACGTTTATATATATATATATATATATATATATATATATATATATATATATATAAATTAGCCTTATTGAATAAAAAGGTTGAAGTGCCCTCAATTATAACTTTGATTTTTAACTATGACGTTAGTGGGTCAGCTCTTTTTTTTTTTTTTTTTAAAGTATAATTATTTTATATAAGAATTCCAGGCCTAGCCCAGGATTGACCCACGAGAGGCACGAGGTAAGCCTAACACGGGACCGACCCAGGTAATTCAAGATCGGTCCCAGTCTGTGCTAGTATAGCCTATGATCGGCCCAGGCCCGTACTTTGGCCACCTCTATTGGGCAATTTATATCGTGCACCAGGGCACACATTGCATTGTGCGCCCTGGTACAAAACGACGTCGTTTTGCATTTTTTTTTGAAATTTCGCTTTCCATGTGTCGGCGGATAACTTCTTGAAAAAAAAAAATCTCATATTTCGAAAATGTACATAATTGTATAATAGAATGTACATAATTGTATAACAAAATACACATATTTTTTTTTAAAAAAGATAATACACATAATCTAACATAATACATAATACACATAAACTCTTAACATAATATACATAAATTTTCTGTTTCGGATGTACATAATTGTATAAAAAAAATGTATAAAATTGTACATAATTGTATAACATAATGTACATAATGGTATAACATAATGTACATAATTATATAATAGAATACACATACACTCTGTCGCGTCAACTCCCCTACACTACTTAACAAAACGATGTCGTTTTGGGAGGCGCGGGGCGCACAATGCTATGTGCGTGATGGTGCACGATATAACGATTGCCTCTATTGAGTAACCACAACAGCTTCAAAACTTAATATATATACTTACGGGGTTCTAATGCAAAATCAGAAACTCGACGAATCAAAAGAAAGTATTCAAGTAATGTCTAACAGAGAAGAAATGGGTCTTCTTTCCATCCTTTTGGACTCTTCGCCAGGGCCGGATGGCTCGAAACCCCCACACCCGATCATGGTACGTATGAGGAGTGCAGCCGCCTACGTAGCAAGAGAGAGCTTGGTTCACGTTCTAACTGCTCTTGATACTCTCAGAGTCTCAGATATGTGGTCGCAGAAGCAGCGACCTGGGTTGGCGCTCTGCATGTGTATTTGGATGCAATTCTGGTTTTCCTCAGACACAAGCATTGAGTTCTTCAAGAACTTCTCCGGGAAGTCTGCATGACAAGTAAACAAGTAATACCAATCGTAGCTTCATTTGATACTTGTTTTCTTTGTTTTCTTTACCACGAACCTTTAATCTTGCGTTCCTCGTATTCCGGACCTTTAATCTTGTATTCCTCTTATTCCGGATGTATTGAATTAGTAAAGTAGAAGGTGCGATTAGAATTGTATAGAGCATGAGCTTCATATGATACTTGTTTTCTTGGTTTTCTTTACGAGGAACCTTTAATCTTGTATTCCTGGTATTCCGGATGTATTGATTAGTAAAGTAGAAGGTGTGATTAGAATTGTATAGAGCATGAGCTTCATTTGCTACTTGTTTTCGTGAATTTGCTTGGGCATTTTCTTTTGCTCTGATACCATGTTAAATAATAAAACACATAGTGAGATGAACTCTGGTAAAGGTTTATGTTATAAATTAAAATTGAGCTAGGGTCACTCAACTGGGCAATAATGTACATGGGCCAAACCATACTAAAATATTGAATTCAACCAATTTGCTAGTCTAACTCATAGACTTATAAACTCATATGCTCTCACTTATTTTATCCGCAAATTATGCCCTGGAAACGTGTTCACCGTGAATGGTGAACACAAGTCCAAACGACGTCGTTTTTACGCAAAAAAAAAAAAAAAAAAAATCGCGGATGTGGAGTTAACGGCGCGCGTTTGATCAAATTATGAATTTTCTGTTATAAGATTATAAATGTAATGTAAATTCATAATCTCATAACAAAAAATTCATAATCGCATAAAAGTAAAATATTTATTAAATTATGAATTTTCTGTTATGAGATTATGAATGTAATGTAGATTCATAATCTCATAACAGAAAATTCATAATTTCATAACAGAAAATTCATAATTTCATAACAGAAAATTCATAATCTCATAATAGAAAATTCATAATCTTATAACAGAAAATTCATAATCTCATGGTTCCAAAGTGAATTTGTAGGCATGGTTCCAAAGTGAATGTGCAGGCATGGATTCATAATTTATGAACGTCCGTGATTTCGGACGGGAATGTGTAGGCATGGTTCCAAAGTGAATGTGCAGGCATGAATTCATAATTTATGAATATCCGAAATCATTGCTCACCTCAAATTAAAGTGAAACCGCGAAATGTGAAAATGAAGAAGAAAAGTCACGCAATTAATTAAGAAAAAAAAAAACGGTGTACTAACACCGTTGGAACCGTGTTCACCATGAATGGTGAACACGGTTCCATGGCATAACGATTGTATTTTATCAATGTGGGTTGACCACTTGAAATTGGACCAGACCCTCCTCTAAAATGAAAGGGGGACAGTTGGGTCCTTCCCTGAACCGGAAGCTTGGACGCGTGGTGGACTGAACAAGCTTGGGATTGGACCTTTCCCTGAACCGGAAGCAGCCATGCTGAATCATCGCCAAGCTTCCAGAGCGGTTCAGGGAAGGGTCCAATCCCAAGCTTGTTCGGTCCACCACGCGTCCAAGCTTCCAGTTCAAGGAAGGACCCAACTGTCCCCCTTTCATTTTAGGGGAGGGTCCGGTCCAATTTCAAGTGGTCAACCCACATTGATAAAATAAGTGAGAGCATATAGGTAAATTTTCTCCCAAACAATACATGAATTACCATATATCGTTTACTCTTTTCTCGTCTAGCGAGTTTTTAACGAGTTACGATTATGATAAGATAATGTACATAGGAGGAGTGTTATAAAAATAAATTATTGTGGACATTATAGACATTCATGGTCGCAGCATTATAATCACCATTATTGTTTTCGGTTACAATTGTATATTATATATGTTTGTATCATTTATACAGATATAGAGGTCGAAATAAAATATTGAATTTATACCTTTGTCTATCTCTCTATTATATTTTATACTCTATTTTTCATTAGACAATTCGCGGTTCCAATCCTTTCTATAATCTGTTTCACCAGGAGCGCTATGAGCTAAAGAGAATTAAATGACAACAAATAATTGATTTTTTTTTTTAAACAACATTCTAGTACCACATAAAACTACAGTATATGCATTGTCAAAAGATAATCAAAACTGTATACATATACACCCACAGATCTCAAGGGCACTTTCGTCCCATCACACGGAATACAACTGAAATCCCCTTCCCCGCCACTCGATACAGAATCAGGATTATTTACATTTCAGCCAAAGCCAAACAGAGAAGTATACTGTGGTCTGTGGAGCTTGAGGCCTCACAAAAATGGCACTGAGACTATTATTATTGTCTCCGCCATTGTCCACTCTTTCTTCTTCTTCTTCTTCTCAATCGAAGCTTGCGCAGTTCTCTCGCTCCAAACAGGCGTCGTTTGTCCGATTTTATCCGAAACATTTCGCGAATTCGGGGCGGAGAAAGTCGGGTTTGGCGGTGAATGCGTGCGTGAAGTTGGAGGAGACTAATGTCTCCGAGGCGGGGAATCAATGGGGAAAGGTCTCCGCCGTGCTGTTTGATATGGATGGTGTGCTTTGCAACAGCGAGGAGCCTTCTAGAAGGGCTGCTGTAGATGTTTTTGCGGAAATGGGGGTTCAAGTAACAGTAGAAGACTTTGCGCCCTTTACGGGCATGGGTAAAAACCCAATACTTTTTTTTCCCCCTCTTGTTGCAATACTTTTAAATTTCCTCTGTTTGCCATTCACATATTATACATTTTAGACATTTAATTCACAAATTCATATGATATAACGTGCAAATTTCAAGTTTTCTGAGAAATCAGTGTGTATGAATCGAAGCAATGGAGCTTGGTGGTTTTCTTGCATTGTCGTAATTACCTATAACTTGTTTCATGTCATTTTCTTGTTCCTCTCCGGTTTTAGTGTTATAGAGAGAAGGAAAGTTTTAGATCATTATTGTTCCTTGTTTTACCTTGCATAGTACAAGAATTTCATTTATTATCAAATTTCCTTTAGAATTTTAGTTAAGTTTCCATTTTCCTTGATTGTGATGCCTAAGGGCTAAAGGAGTGATGCCAATTATTTTTTCAGAGAAGTTTCTGTCTTAACTTATCCTTCCTCACTTTCCTCTTGTAACCTGTTTCCTTTTTCTTTTCCAATTTTCCTCATGAATATGCCAGGTGAAGCGAACTTCTTAGGTGGTGTTGCTAATGTGAAGGGTGTTCTTGGATTCAATCCCGAGGCAGCAAAGAAGAGGTTTTTTGAGATATATTTAGATAAGGTGATTGAAGTGTTTCATTTGCAAATATATTACTTTTAGTATTTTGTAGAATGAGAATATCAGTTTGAACATCTAATTTCTTTTCTTGATACAAAGCTTTGTGTCCTTGTTGTGTAGTATGCAAAGCCAAATTCTGGCATAGGTTTCCCTGGTGCCTTTGAACTTGTCACTCAGGTATGTAATATAGCTCCAAACATGACTTTGATATTTTAATTCTTTGTTTTATTTAATTTTTCTTTTGCATGCTCAAACTGTTTGACAGTGTAAAAGCAAAGGTCTCAAAGTTGCTGTTGCATCAAGTGCTGATCGCATCAAGGTCGATGCGAACTTAACAGCTGCTGGTTTGTCGTTGTCAATGTGAGCTGATGTTGTTATCTGATTTAGATATTTGATGATTGAATTACCTTTTGGGCTATAATGTCATGTTGAGTGACATTGGGACTCTTAACAATGATGAAAACCTTTTTAAGGGTTAAGAGTCCCACATTGAAAATATAAGAGAGAACACATGGGTTTATAAGGCCATGAGTTAGACTAGCTAATTGATTGAATTCAGTCTTTTAGTGGGTTTGGCCCTTGTGCATTATAGCCCATTGGCCCAATTATAGTTTAATAACATTAAGTTTTATTTATTCGTTCCGATTAGTATTCATATGTCATATCTTCCATGGGTGGGCAAAACCTATATAATTCATTGTTTCCCTATCTTCTCCCTCAAAAGAATAGCTTTTATCACACCCATCTCATGGTGTTACATTATCTTATTTCTTTTAACATAATAACTACTGCAGGGATGACAAAAGTGTGTTCCCAATAACTAGGGAAAAGTGGTCAGAGGTGTTCCCCTTTAGTGATTTAGTTAATTAAGGACCCAAAAGCTCACATGATGGTCACATTCAATGTAAAGATGGGATTTCAGTCTTTCCATAAATTTTTACTAGTTCCCCCTTCTTCCACCCTACTCCCTCTTCTTCAGTTCTTCTCACCAATTTATCAACACCAGTTTGAAATTCGACTGAAAATTTCTATTAATCAAAGGCATATTGTTGATTGAGAGCTTTAGTTTGAAGGATCATCTTATATTTTAATGGCTATATGCAGAACTTTAGCTCTTTTGTGGGTTTGTAGATTTATTTGTTTCTGACAATTTGGCTACTCAAATAGAGTTTTAGTTTTATTGTGGCTTTCTTTGTTGATGTTCTATTTTTTCTGAAATTTTAATCAATATGCAGAATCTAAGATTTAGATTTAGATAGATTGGTAGGCAAGGAGTTTGATGGAAAATGGTGAATATAAAGAGGGAATATGGGTAAAGAAGAGGGGATTTGTGAAAATTAATGAATAGACTGAAATACCATTCCTTTCGTTGCATGTGATTATCATGAGTCTTTTCCATCTGTATTTGATTGAATCACTAGTAGAAGATCACTTTTGTCCACATTCCCATAGTTATGACTAAAATTGTCCAAATTGAGAGTTATGTACTAGTTCTGGAATTCCACCATAGTGAGGTGGCCAAAACCTGAAGTAGTTCTTTATATTGTTTGACTTCATTATAATTAGTTTTCTATATCTGTGTATGGCGATGACAGGTTTCCTTGAAGGCATGGTAAAATCTTAGAAACAAAGCTCAATTTACAAGACTTGTATTGTTACCATTTGTTTGTTTGATTGCTTGTTTCCTCTTTATTTATTTATTTGTTTTGTTTTTGACATTATTCCACCATTTTCCACATCAGGTTTGATGCAATTGTTTCTGCTGATGCATTTGAAAACTTGAAGCCTGCTCCTGATATATTTTTGGCAGCATCAAAGATTTTGAATGTGCCCCCTAGTGAGGTAGGTTAACAGGCATTCTGTGCCATCATTATGTATATCTCCAAAATTTTCAGACAAGCCTCAGATAGCATCCTAAACTTAACTTTGCCTAGTACATAATCATAAACTTCTGCTCTCTGTAGTTCTTATTGCTTGGAATTTTATCCTTGTAGTTAATGTACTACTTATATTGATGCAGTGTGTTGTGATTGAAGATGCATTAGCTGGTATACAAGCTGCCAAAGCAGCAAAAATGCGGTATTGATTGTTGTTTCTTTTGTTCAACAGGAAGTGTATATTTTGTGTGTGTAACACAAGATGATGCTATTTCTTCATGTTTCTGCATCCATCACTTCAGCATTCAAATCACATTGGTTCATATGTTAATGCTCTCCACTATCCCTTTGATGGTCTTCTTAATTGCATTTCTCTGGTGTTATGATATTCCAATTACAGATGCATAGCAGTGACCACAACATTGGCAGAAGATACTATAGAAGCAGCGGCTCCATCACTTATCAGAAAGGGGATAAGCTATATTTCACTTGATGATATTCTCAGTGGTGGATCTGGTTCCAATAGTATGTAGTTCTAAAATCTAATGAGAAATTCCCTTTGTACCATTCACAATAATGATGAAGCTGGTCTATGCCAATTTTATGAGTAACATAATCTTGTAATTGATTCCTTATTAACTAAAGGAGGTTTCTTCCTTTCTACACAAACAAATTCCTTGTGTCAATCTATTTATCCTTTAGTGTGCTAGCTTGGAGGTTTCCTTTTGAAAGTTGCCAAAAGGCTCCATCACTTCTTTGCTCTTGATTTCAGATGACCATTTTTTTTCCATTACTACATATGTACGTACCACCCTTACCTAAAAAATGTTCAAATGGTTCATGTTTACATTCCTGTTTATTGAATACAAATGTAGGGTACTTTTATATATGCTCATATATCTAAGGAGTATGTATAAAAATACACCACTTAGTTTTCAACTTCATGTTCAGTGTTAGTTTTCAGTTTCTATAGATTATGACCTGAGTTCTTGTGATGATAAAAATTGCAGATGTGAAGATGCAGGGCCCTCAACCTATCAATTATCCTGCACCGTCTTCACTTGAACCCAACAGTAAAAGGATGACACCAGTGCAGGATAAATACCCTACCATTGGTTCAGTCTCCTCAATTGGAGGGTAAGAGTGGCTCTGTGTCTGAACCAATTAATAAAAATTTAATCATATCACTCATGATTTCAATCCTCAATAATTTTGTGTGCTTTGGTTTTCTGATCACTAATCCATAATCACCTATATATTCATTTCTTGAGATGCTACTTGTTTGGAAAATGTCATTTCAAGAGCAAACAGTTCATTAAAACATGTTCCTATGTTTTAATGTACAATGCATAAGATAAATTGTACTGATGTTGCTGGTATATAAGTGAACTTCCAGAGTTTTCCATGAATGAAATGCCTCTTCCTGGATTCTCTCCATTTACTGGTGCATAGAAACTCAAAACCAGAAGTTACTGAACTTAATTCTCTGTTTTGTTGCACATTTTTTTTTAAATAATAAAATGGAAAATGTGACAAGGAAAATCTTGGAGCCTTTAGTGTCAATCCATGAGGTGGTTCATTCAGTTATCTTTTAATCAAGGTTAGTGCAAAGTTAAGTTTAGTTGGCTGGCTTTACCTTTTCAGTGCAATAGGAACTTTAAAATCAAGTTAAACCTTAATTCTCCAAATATAAGAGATTTTCACTTGAAAAAGCTATTCATTGAAGTGAAAATAGGTTGTGCCATTTTGTTGTCATCCGGTTTTATAGATTCAAAGTCTCTAAAACAAACCCTTCTGCGACAGGCAAATCTCACAAAAATTATCAAAATGATTATATCTCTTCCATTTGAATGGAAACCTGGGTGCCATTATTTTGTCTTAGGCTCTTTTAGTTAGTGAAAGGTGTTAGATAAATTTATGGACTATGAAGACAGTACCAGTGTATGAGCATACATGATGAGTGGGCTTCTTTTCTTTTTCAGTGAACTCCTTGTGTTTGATAGTATTCACAGTTTGGAGTTGTTTTCAATGCAAATCAGAAGCTATTATTTTTTTTTTAAAGTGTAATAAAGCTTCAAATGTGCTTTTTAGGGATCATATCATTAGTATTATTATTATTATTATTATTATTATTATTATTATTATTATTATTATTATTATTATTATTATTATTTTGTTTTTCTGAATGTTTATTTGTTGATTGTTGTGTGCTTCTCAAAATTTATATAGTATATCTGTTTGTTGGCTATTGAAAACACCTGATTGGTCAGTACAGACTCTATATTTAGAGAAAACCTATAAGCTCTGTACTTGGAATTGGTTTAGGGATTTCCTACATAATACAGCATTCTTTGCTTGTCCTAGTTTGCTTTTTATTTCTGGAGGAAATTCCAGCTGCTAAGAATATATTGGTCTACTTTATTTTTTTTTTATCTCCATCAGGATTAGCACAAATATGATATTCAGTCCAATGTTGTCATGAGGCTGTAGAAATAATTTATGGACAGGGTGCAGGTTTCACGCCGCAATGTTGTGAGATATGCAAGTTTGGGCATTGCTGCATCTTGTCTTCTTTTTGTCATCACAAACTGGAAGGTAAAGGTTTAAAGTAAAGGAGAATGTTTGTGAGAAAAAACATAAGTTTTGAGTTAGCATTTCCTCGAAATTTGCATTGTCCTGTTTAATCTGGTTTTTATGTTTATGGCACTGATTTTATCATCATCATTATTACTCCTGCTATAAGCTTTTTTTTTTTTTGCAGGCAATGCAATATACATCTCCTAAAGCTATACAGAACTTGTTATTTGGAGTTAGCAGCCCTCCTTTTGGACAAAATAAAGGTCTCACATTTGCAAATTTTCCTTTTGTTTGTTTCCATCCCTACTTGTCAATGAGCAATTCTTGCATTGCTTTACTTAATTTATTTTGCTTGATTAGATATATTCTGTTTGACTGTTTATTTAAATGAATTTAAGATGAAACAAAAGAAATTCAGAACACTTATTGTTGCTGCAGACACATCTAGCTCACAGAGAATTCAACAGTTTATAAACTATATTTCTGACGTGGAGAGCAGGTAAGTTATATCCTACTCCACACTTCATTACTTCTAATAAAATTTTGTTTTAAATTTCTCAGGATATGAAATAGTTAATTCACTCTTTACTTAATAGTCATGTATAGGTCCCGTGTTGGTCCTTAACATTTTACACTTAGCCTACCAACTTCTGATTCTACCTATCTCATATTTCAATTCCTGGCTTCCGCTAGGGAAAATGCAACTATTGTGCCAGAGTTCCCATCTAAATTAGACTGGCTGAATACTGCCCCTCTTCAGCTGCGCCGGGTATAGACAGTATCCCATCTTTCTATTTTGTGTTTTTACCAATTAACTCTAGCATTCATTGTATATTTCTGTATGTTCTTCCTCTTTACTTTCTTGCCTCAGACCTTTTTCATTGAACTGTTAATCTTCCTACACAATGCTTTCAATTTGTTACACATGTTGTTATAACCTTATGCTTGGTCGTTGAAGAGAAACTCCTGTAAGAGGTTCCCAATGGCCAATGCTCATTTCTACCTTCCTTTTTCTTAACCTTTTTCTTGCTCTTTACTTTCTTGCCACAGACTTTCTCAACCTTCACCTTTTCGTCCTTTGGGAATATATAACAGTTTTATGGGAAAAGTCTAGAAAGGAATTGTAAATTTTACTCATCAGTCAATAACATAGATTTTCATCTTTTACTGGACAGGATTTGAGAGGCAAGGTAGTTCTTCTGGACTTTTGGACATACTGCTGTATTAATTGTATGCATGTGCTGCCAGATCTGGAATTTCTGGAGAAAAAGTATAAAGATATGCCAGTAAGACTACCTTTTCCTCATTCAGTTTTTGATATGTTGGTTCCATGTTTCTTCTTGACGTACAATGCTGTTAATTCCTACTTATCGAGCTGCTAATATATAATGCATCCCTTGTATAACCATTGAGTTCTTTGAATCTCTATGTCAATGGCATTCTAACTATGTAAATTCTCTCTGTAGAGTAATTATTATCTAAGTCATTATAACAACTGAAGAGGTGAAACAACTATGTGCAGAAATGGAGCTGCCTAAATGCTAGTGTAGCCTTTAACTAGTTATTCAATCTTTACTCCTTAAATTTGATTTTTTGTGAGTGGAAACATTAATTCAGATTTTGAACATGGTTAGTCTTGCAGTTTGTTGTAGTGGGAGTGCATTCAGCAAAGTTTGACAATGAGAAAGATCTAGAGGCCATTCGCAATGCAGTATTGCGCTATGAGATCACTCATCCAGTAAGTAATTACTTAAATCTGCTATTTGTTTTTCTTCTTGTTATACTTTTTGAATTATCTTATATCCTCATTGCATGTTCAGTGACTGTTCCCTTTGCAAACCTAGGTTGTCAATGATGGAGAGATGAATTTATGGAGAGAATTAGGTATAAATTCCTGGCCAACCTTTGCCCTTGTTGGGCCAAATGGCAAGCTTCTTGCACAAATAGCTGGTGAAGGTCGCAGAAAGGTAATAATCTGTCTCTATCTAGTCTATTTTTTCCTAACAATATGCCTCCACCAATTGCAAAACCATATTAAGCTCAAGCAAAGTGCAAATGAGGATAATGAATATAGTACAGACAATATTTGATTAGATATTACATAAATAAACCCAAAGCTAGAGATTTTGATGACTTGATTGTGAAGGTTATTTCCTTCTTTTTTTTTTTCTCTTCCTTTTTATCATCCCAGTTTCACCTTTTTATTTATTTATTTATTTATTTATTTATTTTTGGGTGCATTTAAAAGATAAGCCTTTGTCCATGTCAACTGGCTGAATTTTGGTGCAGCGATAAACAGGAAATGACAAATGTTCTACACATATAGTTTATTATTAACTGTAAAATTGCTGCATTTAATACAGTAACTTTTCTTGCATCTCTAACATTTCAAACAGGGTGCTGAAATAAAAGCCACTTCATGCCACTTGACCACAAGGTCATTGGCAAATAAATAAATAAATAAAAGCCATTTCTATTTGTACATGTAACTAGAAACCCTAAATCTCTTCTATACATAAACTGAACCAAGCCTTACAATGCATATAAAATCAGATAGATCTCACTTATCTAGTTAAATTACTAATTGTTTTTGAAAGTAATTCCCTCTTCATCTCTTAATTTTACGTGTTACATGTACATGTAGATTTGAAAGCTTTTCCCTTTTCTAAAATTTGAAGTCTGCCTCTCTATGTTAAAAAAAAAAAAAATTCAATGTCATCTTTTCTCTTAAAAATACTGAAGAAATTGGTAGGCTCTTATTATTATTCTTTTAAATTGCATGACATATATTTTTATGTTGATGGCTCAATGTTTGCTTCCTTCCCATTTTCACATTTTTCCCTTTAGAAATGTGTCAATATCCTCTTGCTAGAGTTCATCTTTCTTCTGTTCAATTCATTTGGAAAATTAAAGAAAATGACCCTCTTAGGCTTTGTTTGGGACATCAGTGGGATTTGAGTGTGGCGGTGAGATTGGAGTAGTGATAATGAGATTGAAATGGTAGCAGTTAGACTGGTTAGAGATAAGTGAAAAGAATGGGTGTCTAGGAAAATAGCAGTGATAGGGAGATTGGAAGACATTTACATGAAATATAGAAATAATACTCCATTTTTATATTAATATTTTTTTAGAAGTTTTAACAAATAAATAAATAATAATTTTATTTTATTTACGAATTACAATATATATATATATATATATATATATATATATATATATATATATATATATATATATATATATATATGTATATATATATAATTTCATAATTAACAATTTTTTATATTAATAAATTTGTTGATATAGTTATAAAAAATTGCAAATATATATTAAGAAAATATATCAAAATTGGGCGATGTGGGGTGCCAACATCGCCTAATTTTGCTCATGGGAGCATGAGGCTCCTCTATGAAATGGGAGCCTCTTGCTCCCAAATATAATTGAAGGTTGCTATTTAGCAGCCCTTTAGGATTGGTAGTTCAAATTCTTTTTTAAATTTAAATTAATTTATAATTATTAGTTATTATTAATATAAATCATGGGACATGGGGGATGTTTTGGAGAATTTCTCTCCTTATGCCCCCAAAATGTTCCCACAGTGGAAATTTGTACTATAGTGTTTGGGGCGGTGTGATTGGATTTTTGCACCACACCATGTGCTGGTCATCCAAACAATCAATTTTAGGCATTTGGAGGGCTCCCAAATGAAGCCTAATCATTTGGAGATGTTTGACTAGGAATGCTAAGCATTAAAAATAAAATAAAAATTCAGTAGAAGTATATCCAAATTCATTCTTTAATGAAAGATTGAATTTTGAGAAATAAGGTTCTTTTTCCAATAATTATCAATGCCTTGTTGCTCTTCATTATATATTTATTGGTGTGCTGTCTATAACTCAATAATAAGCTAATTACATAATAGTTTATATTTCTATTGCTTTGCCTAGGATCTTGATGACTTAGTTGAGGCAGCACTTTTGTTCTATGGTAGAAAAAAGCTCTTGGATAATACTCCCATTCCCTTGAAATTGGAGAAAGACAATGATCCCCGCTTGTTAGCATCCCCGTTAAAGTATCCTGGTAAGCTGGCAGTTGATGTCCTCAACAATCGGCTATTCATTTCAGACAGCAACCATAACCGAATAGTATGCTCTCTCTCTCTCTCTCTCTCTCTCTCTCTCTCTCTCTCTCTCTCTCTCTCTCTCTCTCTTCTAGATGTGTCTGTCTAGGTGTGCCTTATTCTATCTCTCCCTTTCCAAATGAAAGAGGTTGAGACATCTGTGAATGATGCTTCTAGATGGCATAATCTTGCTTTTATGTCTGAAATGCAGGTAGTCACTGACCTAGAAGGGAACTATATAGCTCAAGTTGGGAGCACGGGGGAGGAGGGTCTTCGTGATGGTAATTTCGATGAGGCCACTTTCAATCGACCACAGGTAATGGCAGTTATAAACCCTCCACTGCCTTCTCTGGCATTCTTCTTCAGGATGTTGCTTCCTCCACTTTTGATTGAATTTAATGATTTGACTGGGACGACTGTTCATTGTAGAAATATAAGTAAAGAGAAATGTGGGGCAACATTTTGAAATTCTTTTGATTAGTGATTGGGAAGTCAACTTAAGTTTGAGCGAATGGTTCCCAATTCCCATATAATGTTAGAACAGAACTGATAGAGAGATTTGAGTTCATGGAAGCAGTAATTATTTTGAGATTGTCCACAATAAAAACCACACAATTCAATGTGAAGCATACGGGGCGAATTTTTCTCATTCTCCTTTATTCATTTGATTTTCACAGCTTCTGGTTTTGCTTAAAGTCATTTCTTGTTCACTTCCTTCTGCCCAGGGTTTGTCTTACAATGCAAAGAAAAATCTCCTTTATGTGGCAGATACTGAAAACCATGCTTTGAGGTACTGGTGCCTGGGATTTTTTTGGTTAAGCATTTTTTTTTTTAGATCTTCTGAATGTTTTTACTCTACTGTATATTTCATATCCCTCTATGTTCCCTTTAATTTGGATGCTCATGTTTAATGTCTGATAAATAGAGCCTAAAATTCACATGTTTGAACTTGATTATTTGCTATAACAACTAATGCATCAATTAAATATCTCAAAGATTATATGGAATACAAATTGCTAATTAAGTAGAAGACCGCGATCTGTGTAACCAACAATTTCTAGATTTCCATGGTCTTTGTATAACAAACCAATGCCAGGAGATTTCTTAGGAGGTGTTTGGTTCATGGGTTTACACACCAGGAATGAGAATCAAATCATAGTTAGTGTTTGGTTGACAACTTTTTTAAAACACCACTATAGGATTTGATTACCCCTTCAATTAAAAACCTCATTTCCTAATTAAAAACGAGTATCATTCCATCTTATTGGTAATCTAATTTTTAAGTTTGGATTAGTGCTTTTAGATTTTGGATGTCATTATATTTAGGATCAATTGCCTTGATTTTTTGTTTTTGTATTTTTAAAACCTTTATTCCCATTATAGGGTCATAAACAATCAAACATCAATATTGGTAATTATTCCAATTCCACCTACTACCAAACATGCAAAATACTTTCACCAAAACCATTTCCATTACCAATACCAAGTATTTGATTCCCATCCCGATTCTCATGTGCGAACCAAACACACCCTTAATGTTGAAAAATAAAGGGTTGTGTTTGTTTATGAATAGGTGTTTAATTAAGAGTTATGTGTCTCTTGTTAAATATCAATATAGTCTAACGTTAATTGAATAAAGTCTACGAGAAACCTAACCTCGTAGTAGTGGAAGCGGAAGAGGAAGCGATGTTGTTCTCCAGCCATAGTTGATGTCCTTTCCTCTTGAACGGTAGAACTGCAGGTGAAAGGTTAGACGTTTTGTCCCATACTTGACTCAGAACCTTAGATGATGTACTGAGATTATTCTGAACAGTATGAGTACTATAAATTGTATGTGCTATATACTGTATATCCTGTATCCCATCAATACAGGCTTTATATTAGGTACAAAGTCTAATTGGCTAACAACTTCCAGTTATTCAGTAAAAAATTCTCACCAAAAGCAAGTAATTTGAAGAAAAGTGTTCAAATGACCAGTAACTTCACTGTTCATGTGACGAAATTTTTTTAAGAAAAAACTGGCTTCTGATACCATATAGGAAAAGAAGCAAAGAATTTCTTGTATTTTTCATATCTGAATGAAGAGGCAACAAACAAATATATATAGACACAATCTGACCTTTCATCAGGCACCTTTTCGTAGACAGACACAACCCTTTGTGTTTCAACAAAAAACAAACATGGCAATACGAAAATGGACCATCCTTGAGAGATAAACTTGGCAATGGACCAAAAAACCTTCAAAGTTTACCAAAAAGACCAAAGAATAGCAACACAAGGATCTGGAAATTTTCACTGGAAAAAGTCATTGCGGGTAGTTGCACATGCCAGCACATGAAGGGAAGCCTCACTGGCACGTGACGATGGGGCAGATGATGACAAAATTTCACAGGATTGATCACTAGAGAGGGAGGAATCCAATTATGTAGGCAGTGAGATAAAAACATCATCTGAGGAGAGATATGAGAAAAACCGAATCGAGATCTGTCAGCTTGGTTGGGGCGTGGCAGAGCATATGGATGTCACTAGGGATAGGCTTTCCAGCAGTGGGTCATGACAAGGGTTTGAAAGGCCTAGTGGGTGGCAAATAGCAACCACCCGCCAATTAGGCTGAAGCAAAATATGTGAGAAACCAAAGAAAGAGATAATAATATATGTTTATGTGTACTGAATATGAAACCATGCATATTCCTACTAGGTATAGGACTGGAGTTTCCTATTATTCAACAGAAATTATCGATTAAATTAAAATTGTTAGGACTTTATGGTCATGATCATATTTCTGCCTTAACTTGTAAAATGTAGAAATTTTTTCTAGATCTTCTGTATTCTACTTCTAGTTTAGGAGGGGCCAGTAAGTTAATCTTGTTCAATGAATTACCATACTGCCCTTTTTCCACAACATTGAAAAATTACTTGTCATGAATTTTTCTTGTAAAGAATTTATTTTATTATTGTTTTTATTTGCCCGCCCTTCCACAATGTGTTTTGCACTTCACTGGTCATTTCACATTTATTTCACTTCATAAACTTTGCAACTTTTTTGAAATGCAGAGTCATTGATTTTGTAAATGAGATAGTAAGGACACTCGCTGGGAATGGAACAAAGGGTTCCGATTATGAAGGGGGAGGAACAGGGTCTGCTCAGGCAAGATTTATGCAATTTAAAATATTAATGATATAGTTATAATCTAGTGGTGCTCATGTATAATATAGCATAATAATGTAGTTACTACAATCTTTTGGTAGTTACTACAATCTTTTGTTTTGAAATTAAGTTCCTAGACATTATTTTTAGGTCCTCAATTCTCCCTGGGATGTCTGCTTTGAGCCCGACAATGAGATTGTGTATATTGCAATGGCTGGCCAGCATCAGATCTGGGAGCATAATACATTAGACGGTGTAACAAAAGCTTTCAGTGGTGATGGTTACGAGAGGAATTTAAATGGGTCAAGGTAATACACACAACACAATCACAACTATGTTTTTTGTCTCTAAATACATCTACCAGTATGCTATATTGGTTGATTTGAATGTAATTTAATTTTATTTGTGTTCATTTTTCTTGCTATTTAATGTCTTTTGACTTTATTTTGGGGTTAAATGTCAGAGTTTCTGAGTGTCTTATTGAAGAATGAAAGAGTTTACATATGGGTGATGGTAGAACCCTTCATCATTTACTTATCTTTTATTATCATAGCTTGAACATCAGAAAACATGCTTAGAGAAATGAATGGAGGTAATTTAATTAATAACTAATCATGATCATTTTATCATTTGGTGTTACAAGCTAGATCAGCTATTCACCTGGATTGTTCAAGCCAATCTTGGTGAGCATGAAGAGAGTATACCCCCCAAAAAGAGTCACACTTGTGTGAGACCGTGAGACGGTTCGAATCTAGGATAGCTGCTTGTTACTTATGATTGAAATCATAATTCCGGAAAATTTAATACCAACTTAAAATAAATAAACTGTTACTTATATTAGATATTGTAATATTTATATGTGAAATTGTGATACTATTTAGGGTAAAATGATTGTTACTAATGATAAATATTGTAATAATTATAACTGAAATTGTAATACTTACACACCCGGTTGTCTACAACCCAACTCGTCTCACGGACAAGGATCTATGAGACGGTCTTACACAAGTTTTTGCCCCCCAAAAAATGTTAGCTCTTTCATTGCATCTGTTGTTTTCCTCAGAATGGAAAAATACTGCAAAATGAAAATATTTTGGAAACTGCAATGTTTAAGTGATGATTCGAAGTGTTCTGTGCATAATATCTGTCTGTTGGAGGATTCATCTTAACTAGAATCTTGTATAGCTATCAATTGTATGCTGCACTTTTACTACACTTTATAACATAATCTACTTAATATTTAATATTGCTTATCTACAATTGTTTGACCTTAACCTTTGTCCTTTCAATGACAGCTCCAGAAACACATCATTTGCACAACCTTCTGGCATTTCATTATCACCTGGTAATATTTTGGAATAAATTCAGATTATTACTCTTGTTGAGTTATTCCGAATCTTTATTACGTTTTAGTAATATATGACTATCATGCTGCGATATTTTATAGATCGAAAGGAGGCATACATTGCTGACAGTGAGAGTAGCTCCATTCGAGTTGTTGATCTAAGGACTGGAGGTTCAAGATTGCTGGCTGGTGGTGACCCAAATTTCTCAGATAACTTGTTTAGGGTATTCCTATCATGAGCCAAGAGAGCCAGACTTGTTTTAAATTACTTGTTCTTTTTCAAGATTTTGTTGTGTAACAGATCTCTTTAATGTAGCTATTTCAACTTGCAGTTTGGAGACAGCGACGGAATAGGTTCTGGTGCACTTCTTCAACATCCATTAGGTGTTTTTTGTGGTCAAGATGGTCAAGTTTATATAGCAGACTCTTATAATCATAAGGTAATTACTACTTTTAAGTTTTAACCAAGAAATTCTTTGATGCAAGAGGGCAGCACGTGGTTCTGAAGTTCATGACCGCATGAAAACAATTTCTTGGATTTAAAAAAATGTGCCCTTTTTATGCTACCATCTGACCTTAGTTAATGACTAAGATCTCAACTGACTATCAGTGGCAGTTGTATCCAGCTTAAAGGAATAACTATTCATACTTGGAGCTTATAGTTAACTTGAAGATGTAATAGAGAGTCATTTTTGTTCAATATCTTATTTGATGTGGAGCTGTTTTAATTGCCAGATTAAGAAGCTAGATCCAGTAAGTAAAGCCGTGAGTACTTTAGCAGGTACTGGTCAAGCCGGTTTCAAGGATGGAGCTTCTTCAACAGCTCAGGTTGTATAGACTGATTTATTAAGTATGTGTATGTATGCATCTATAATCACATGCATCATAGGAATTTAGGTGTCTTTCAAACGAGTGAAAATGAACGTGTAGTTTGCTCGAGAGTGAGTGGCAAAATTAGGTTGAGAATTGCCTCAGTTGCAATATTAAAGTTAGCATGCGTTTTGTTCTTGATCAGTTGTTACTTGTTAGATCTCTCTCTCTTGCTATATGTATGTGCTTGGCATCTTTTATAGCACTGTATTTAGAGGATCAATTCAGTTCTCAGGGTGTCGTGAAAATTTCACTTTAATGCATAAGATTTGTTAAGAGTCCCACTTTGATCAAATAAGAGATGATATATGGGTTTATAAGGCCATGGGTTAGACTAGTTAATTGGTTGTATTCAATTTTTTAGTCTGGGTTGGCCCATTTGCATTATTATAGCCCAATTGAGTGACATTGGCTCAATCTTAGATTATAATAACATGGTATCTGAGGATACCAGTTGATATGTTTGAGATGAATTAATTGATGCCTTTTTGCAGCTATCAGAACCAGCAGGAATTGTTCAAGCAGAAAGTGGTAATGTCACTTTCATGTAGTTACATTCACCACATATTTTAAAGCAGAAAATAAATCCTTTTTGTATGGTTTGATGATTTTATCCAGGAAGATTATTCATAGCAGATACAAACAACAACCTTATCAGATATTTAGATGTGAACAATGAAAAACTTGAACTTCACACCCTAGAGTTGAAAGGCGTCCTGCCTCCTGCACCTAAATCCCGAACTTTGAAGCGCCTTAGGAGGCGATCTGGAGCTGACACACAGACCATCGTTGTTAGTGGCGGTTCGTCAAAAGAAGCTACATTGCGCCTTCAAATATCAGTACCCGAAGGCTACCATTTCTCAAAGGTTCTTTCTCACTCCTCTTCTCCTCCAAATGACAAACTGGCCATAATTGTTGATGGTGGTTCTCCTTGCTTCCAAAATGTAGGAAGCACAAAGTAAGTTTAGTGTTGAAATGGAACCAGAGGATGCAGCTGTGGTTGATCCTTTGGATGGAAATCTCAGTGCAGAAGGTTCTGCTGTTTTACATGTGAGAAGATCCTCCACTTCACCTTGCATGGGAAGAATTAATTGCAAGGTATTTGTCTCAGTCCATAATCCACATGTCAGCCTTTTTATCAGTCCAATATGTGAGCAGAAAGTACTTGGAGGTAGACATATAATCACGGATCATTATTCTATAGACAATGGTCTACATAGCTGTGTGGACCATAAATAAAAAGTACATTATTTGAGTACTGAAAGCACACTATTTTGTATATTATCAAATAATGTACATTCAGTACACAAATAATATATTTTTAGTATATTAAAAATGTACCTTGTATTCATGAAAATTACATTATTTGAGTACTGAAAGTACATTATTTTGTATATTATCAAATAATGTACATTCAGTACACAAATAATGTACTTTTAGTATATTAAAAATGTACGATCTACAGAGAAATTTGCCTATAATCACCATGTTTGCTTTCAAGCTTGGTTATGTGGGCAAATTATACTATGGACCGCGGTCCACAATGCATTGTGGTCCAGGCATCAAATATACACTGCAGTTTCATTTCAACACAACTATAGTATCATTTTGATATAACTACAGTTTCGCTGGACAATATACACTCAAATATGTGAAATAGTTATTCAGTTTCATTTTGTATACATTGCAGTTTTATTTTGTATACACTGCAGTTTCATTTCAACACAATTACAATTTCATTTCAATTCAATTGCAGTTTCATTTGATAATATAAAAATGAGAGAGTGTCAGTTTAGATACACTATAGTATGCCGTTTTGGACCATGGTCCACAATATAATTGCTGGGTTATGTGCCATTGGGCTCAAAATCCTCCTTTTCTTTTTCTGGTTGTGACCTGATTTATATGCAAAACAAATTTTGTGATGGAATCTCAACGCATACTGCAACTTATTCAGATCTTTACTATGTACACTCATTCTTAATGTGCTAAAACTACCTATATTTGGATAGGCTTCAATAATATTCATATTGACTTCCCCATTGGATAAAACCAAATTAATTTACTATTATCTGTCTTCTGCAACTACTCAGCTGAGGGCTGAGGCTAACAAATTTCTTTCAGGTTTACTACTGTAAAGAAGACGAGGTTTGCTTATATCAGTCTCTGACCTTTGAAGTCCCATTTCAAGAGGTAAATACCGACTCCTCCTCGCCTGCAGAGATCACACTTGCATATGTTGTAAAGCCGAGGGTGTCCACAGATAGCTTCCTGCAGACCCCGGTTAATCGCTGATCAGAATCATGTGAGTTACATCGACATAATATTGTACGTATATATAGAAGTATATCATGCTCTATAATAGTTGCTTAACTTGTTACACATTGTCTTGTTGATATAATACCAACAAGTATTGTGCATACATATAACTTGGTACTTATTATTCCTTGCTTCAAGTTGTAATCTAACTTTATCTTCATTAAGCATACACTTTAACATTTAACTTGATGTGATTAGTCTGTGCAGGTGCATGACCCACCCCAATAGTGCTTTGGCTTCAAGGTGCCATACTATATAAATACTAGCAGTAATAATAAATAATTAGACTAGGATAATAGCCTGGGGCGGATCTACAATAGGACAATTGCTCCTCATCCCTTCCCACCTCTTATATAGTAATAATAACTTATATATAAAATCTAAATTTACGTACAAATTGCTAAATGTTTAAGTAGCTTAGTTGGTTAGAACTCTAAATTTGATAATTTTTTGAATCTGCCCTTAATAATAGCCGCCATGGTGATCATTATTTGAATGATAAGCTTGGGGATAAAGTAAAGAATTCATTCGTGTGTGGTTTGTCCTTTATTGGTCGGATAATGAACCAATTATTGGGGGTGGATTAGTAGAATATGACTTTGCTTGCTTTAATTTAGTGATGATGATGCATAACACCCTTACTGGTCTGCCAGAAAGTGATTCTTTATCCAAATAATACCCATATTTTAGCTTCCAAAATTGCATATGGGTAATATATTATTGTGTTTGACAGCGAATTACGCGTTTGTTCCACCAAATTTGTGTTCAGCATTCTTCCGACATGTCTGTCTCATTATCTTCATGCAACGCCAGGCCACCTTCATATTTGACCCTATGCTTATACTTGTTAGATATAAATGTAGTCTAACTTTAATAGAATTTACGAGAATTCTAACCTCGTAGCAGTGGAAGTGGTGTTGCAGTGTTGTTGATCTCCTGCCATAGTTGATATTCTCTCAGTTGTGTTGCCTTACTCTGTCCCATACTTGACTCAAAATTCTATTGGTGTTATTCTGAACTGTATGAGTACCATAACTTGATATATATATTATATAATGTATATCATGTATCTATCAGGACCATCAATACAGACTTTATATAGGTATAGCGTTGATTAGAAACAAACTCTAGTTATCCATTCAACGAAACTACTTTTAAGTCTAGTCAACCCAACAATGGATTAGATTGGTTGCTATGCTTCACCCCTTGTCTATGTGGAATCGGTTTTTCCCGTTTTCTGCTCTGTTTGGTACGTTATTCGATTCTGTTAGAACCGCTAACACTGTTTGAGGCATGTTCATTTTGTCCAACACTTGTGTTGTCTCTCTCTCTCTCACAATTTGCATTGGGGTTTATTCATTTAGCATTTATAAATTTACGGTAAAAAGTTGTGTGAGATCGTCTCAAGGTCAGATCTTTGAATAATGAGTTAAATTTTTTTATTAATAGATTGGATCTTTGACCTTATTATTCAAGGATTGAGACCCGTGAGATGATCTCACACAAGTGTTACCCTAAACTTATTAAGTCTAGTTATAGAGTGAAACTTGTGTGAGACTGTCTAGGATAATTGTTTGTTACTTATATAAACTCATAATACTTATTACAAACAATTTAATACCAACTTGAAATAAATAAATTGTTACTTACAATGGATACTGTAACCTTTGTATGTGAAATTGAGATACTATTTAGATAATATAATTGTTACTAATGATAAATATTGTAATACTTATAACTAAAATTGTGATACTTACAAAGTTTTTTGTAATTTTTAATGTAAATATTGTAATACTTATATATGAAATGTTTTTTTTTTTTTTTTTGAAAAAAAAACTTATATATGAAATGTTACTTATAAAAGAAACTGTAATACTTATTTTATAAAATTTAATAATACTAATTTGAATTAAAAATAAATCGTTATTCATGATAGATAGTGCAATATTTATGTGAAATTGTGATACTATTTAGCATAAAATTGATTGTTACTAATGATAGTTATAACTGAAATTGTAATACTTACACACACAGCTATCTACAACCCTATCGATTTTACGAATAATGATCTGTAAGACGTTTTCATACACGTTTTTGCCCTAATATAAGAATTACATAAATATAAATTCCTAGACTTAAAAATTAATTACCTTAGAGCATCCTTAGTGGAGGATTTTGATTAGGGGTGTGCAGAGTTCAATGAAAACACGGTTAATTGACGGAACTGCAAATTTTTTATTAACCATGTTTTAACTCAAATATTTCAATTCGATTAATGATTAATGATTTTTTTAAAAAATAATTTTGGTTAACAGTTAATTTAGTTTGAAAGTGTGGCAAACCGAATTAGGCTAATGTTTTAATTTTTTATAATTCATAAATCATACTATTACACTAATTTTTTTAATTATCAGTTATATACTTATATATTGATGTAATGACAATTTGTTATGTGAAAGTATGAATTGAGAATTTTTGTTTATAAATTTCAAAGTTCTTTTAAATTGAACTAAAATCATGGTTGCAAAAATTGCGCCTAGCCACTAGGCGGTGGACGGTCTCCTAGGCGGCATAGGCGCCAACTAGGGCAACGTGGACTAGGCGGGCGTCTAGGTGCTCAAAAAAATCTTTTAATTTAAAAAAAAAAATGGGCGCTAGGTGCCCGAGGAACACCTAGCGATTTTTGCAACCTTGACTAAAGTATTTCGGTTAATCGGTCAAATCATTTTTTTTTTGATAAATTTAAAAATAAGAATTTTAGTTCGTTTAACGGTTAAAGTATTTTGTAAATTAAGTTTGGTTGTTAATCGAATGAACATCCCTATAGGCAGTGTTGCAAAAATCGCGCCTAGGCGCTAGGCGGTGGGAGGCCGCCGCGAGGAATGGCCTTCGCGGCCGGCCGCCTAGACCGCCTAACCGGTCGGTTCGAGGGTTTTTTTTTTTTTTGTTGAAAATGTGGGAAAAGTTCCGGAAGGCATAACTTTTGACTCGGTTGTCCGATTTGGACAAATTTTTTTTCAAATTGCGTATTTTTTCGAGATCTATACACCGCAAACGGCCAAAGGCAGTTTAGTCCACTAATTTCTCAAAAAAATACTTCTTTAGCTCTTAATTTTAATTTTTTTTAATGTATTTAGATGGTTTAAACAATCTTTTGAACAATTTCACAACCACTTTCGTAAATAGTTTCTAAGAAATAACTATGAAAACATTATTTTTATTACTAAATTTTGAAAATTTTTAATTTTTAATTTTATTTTTAATTAAAAAAACAAAAAAAATATCAGTGCCTAGGCGCTAGGCGCCCCCTTGGCGCCTAACGTTTTTTGCAACATTGCCTATTGGCCAATTTTGACTTATTTGACAATATAAGTGTTTGGTTAATTAGCTTTTTGTACTCCAAAATGCTAAAATTTAAAAAGTTACTCAAAACAACTTTTTCAATTAGCTTTTTAAGAAAAGAAATTATACCAAACAACTATCAGCTAACAACTAATTTACCAAACACATTTCTACAATTAGCTAATGTTATCAATTAGTTATACCCTCTAATTAACACAATCAGCTAACAGCTAATTACCAAACAGGCCCTATGTGTGTTTTTGCTTAGTTGGAGGAAAGAAGAAAGAGGTGCTGTTTGGGTCTGGAATAATTTGTTAAAACCTAAGATTTTGTCAAGAAAGATAAAATTTGTGTGTTGCTAAGGCATGCCGGTGTTTTTCACGGATCATTATCCACCTTGCAAATTAAACTAAATTAAGAAATTTTAAAAATTTAAATTTATTATCCTTTTTTTCTTTTACAAATAATACACACATATATACCATTAAAATGTGAATTGATGTCATTTTAATGAACTTACATATTATAATAATGAACTATAGTCAATAATATAATTTGTCATTCTTAATGCTCATGTCAAGAGTGTTAAAAAGATCGCTAATTTAAATTTTATTTGGCCCACAAATTTGACAAAAACTCTAAAAAAATAAAAATAAAACAAAAACATCAATGCCATTGAGGTTGCTCTTATTCCATCTTAATCTCGTTTTGCGTGAAAAAGTGTAATTAATTGAGACCTTATCTTCTTCTAATAAAATCCGCTGAGAAGAAGGAAAGAAAAGAAAGAAGTTATTGATGGCCTCACGTCTCCTCCAACTTAACTTAACTTACATGAATAAGTCAAAAGACCCAAAGGCATTGGATATTTGGATAACTATGAATCTGAGTACCATCACAGATTACACTTGGAAGTTGGAACACCAATTAGTGAAAATTCTCACCAACCATGTGCTCATTAAAGACCTGCTTTTTGTTGGGACTTGCTAGTACAATTTTTTTTTTTTTTTTTTTTTTTTTGGTTAGACCCTCGATTTTTAAACTAGTACGCGAGAAAAAGTGCTGGTCATATTAATTTTTTGAGTAAATACCAGCCAAGATCCTCCGAATTTGGTGGTTTCACCACCTTTAGTCCTAAACTTTCAAATTGATCATTCGTGATCCTTCAAGTTTAGAAATCAACTTGTCGTAGTCCTTCCGTTAAGATATCCCGTCTCACCTGTAAAATTAAAAGGCAAAATAGTCTTGTTATTGCAACCCTTTGCCAAAATTGTTCATTTTATTGCATCCGGGAAAGAGTTGGGCCCTCCGAGAAAGAGTTGGACCCTCCGGAAAAACACTGGTCGCGGCAGGAGAAATGGGAGCAAGAAGGTACGAAGAAATTGATTAGAGATAATTTATGAGGAAAATGAATTGTTTTGGCTGGGATTGCAATAAGATGGGATATCTTAACAGAAGGACTATGACAGGTCGATTTTGAAACTCAGAGAATCACAAATGATCGATTTGAAAGTTTAGGACTAAAGGTGGCGAAACCACCAAACTCGGAGGACCTTGGCTGGCATTTACTCTTAATTTTTTCATCATACAAAACAGAGTTCAAACTCCAGACATCTCTTAAGGGATAAGAGTGCACATGGTCACTGATGCCGACTAAATTGATTACAATTTTTTTTCTCTTTAATTATGTTTATGATCAATTTAATTTTTCTTTCACTTTTTTAAATCAACTTTTTTGTGTTCAATAGGCTTTTGTGATTTATTTTCTAAATATATAAATTTTATTCAATACTACTAAATTAAGTAATTTAAAAATTGAATTCTA